ATGTTTCCTGCCAGCATGATAGCACCAAATAAACAAATACCCTCTCACAAACAAATACATGAACAGAAACAATAATGCTGGTAAGATGGGAGTGATTGGAATGCCCAGATATTATTAACAAACAAATAAAGGGTACATGATTTTGGAAAACTTGATTGGCACTTTCTACAAAGGCTAAAATTATACCTTTTCTTTCCCATGGAAATAATATTCATAGAAATTATTTATTGTAAATGTCTCCCAAACAATGTATATAGAAACATTCAAGGAGCTGGTGCAGTGGCATATCCGGCTAATCCTCTACCTGCAGCACTAGCATCCCACTTGGGTTTGAGTCTGAGTTCCAGCTATTCTACAGCCAGTCCAATTCCCTGCCTATGGCCTGGGAAGGCAATGGATGATGGCTCAGGTCCTTTGGCTTCTGCACGCATGTTGGAGACAAGGAAGAAGCTCCCGGCTTTTGTCTTAGATCAGCTCAGCCCTGGCCATTATGATCATCTGGCGAGTGAAGCAGCAGATGGAAGCTGTTGTTTCCAGAGTCACTCCTCTACTCTTCTATCCATGTGCCAATTTAACACTATTTCGAATACTTTATCATAAAATGTTAAATGTTGATGTCTGGTACAGCTAAAACATCAGCTCTAGAAGTTCAGACTAAGAGAATGCAGATTCCAGATTCTAGGTTATATGACAGCTAAGAAAGCCAATCAAAGAGCAAATAAAATGATCAGTGGGAGAAAAACTGGAAACACTTTTGGGCCTTTACTGACATTGGCCGACAGATGCATGGATGATGGAATTAGGAAGGAGAGATAAGGAATAGATAAAGCACAGGTAGTGGTTAAAATGTTTCACTTCTTGATCCTGGATCTTATTCTTACAGCTCTAGCAGTTATTCAAGGCAGGAATTTGGCTCCCAACCTTGTTCCTCAATCCCAGCCTTTAGAGTTGAAAGGATTTTATCCTTTTCCCCCTCTGAGATTCAAATACTTCACGCAAAGTTTGTAAGACATGATGTATGAGTAGCCTGAACTGCCAGAATATGTTACTAAATTACACCTTATAGACAGACTCCACTTCTGAGAAATCAGCCTGCAAATGATCACATTGTGTATTTGAAAGCTAAGGATAGAAGAATGAGAAGAACAATTGTAATCCTCATGAGAAAAACCTATGAATATAGATCAAGAATATGTCTCTTTGATCAGAGATTTTACTAACAAGGGGAGCCACCAAAGAAATCTGTGCGATAATTATTTTATATGTAATATGTCATATATTATATGCATACTACTGACATCATCATTTATTATAAATGCATTATGAATATTTACATAGATAATTTGATAATATGAAAATGAAACAAGAGAGAATATGCATGCATTATGTAGCCATACAGACACACAGCAGAAATGCATTGTACACTTTCCAGAAACTATGTGCAACTTTTTGATGCTGAAGGCACTAAGTTATTACTACTTTTCACTGTGATGCAATGAAATAAAGAGAACACGACTGGCTTCTAAAAAGCTTGAAAATGCACTGTTACAATAATCTGTAAGGACTCGGGAGGAGAGCTTTCTCTGGTCCTTACTTAATTCCAACTTTGGATCCCCACCCTCTCTTGCAATGACCATTAGGGTCACTCCGGAGCTCTACCCCCCACCCAAAAAATTAGATTAGATACACAGAGACTAATAAGGAAAGCTTAGAACCTGACAGAAAACAGTCAGCTTGGACTCACATATACCTGCTTACTGGAAATGCATGTTGTGAAGAGACAAAAAAACTTTGTATTAAAATGAACTTACTTTTTAATTCCATTTTATGTGAATTTTTGAGCTATTTCTATAACCCCACTCCTTCCCTCTACCTGTTACATAAAAATTAAGATGTCCAATAATTGATTTAATCCCTTTTTTGAATCTACATATTTCTACAGATATTCCCCAAACATGCCTAAATATAATATTAAATTTCTTTTCACACATTTTCTGAGAACACCGTCATTTCATCACTGTGCGTGTAGCTCCCATTGTTTCAGCAAATAAGGAGCCCCATTTTTTCTAAACTGTAAGTGCATTCCTGTGTTGTGGGATGGGGGCATGGCTATTGCCACTGTGCGAGAGTATTTAGTACTTCACATGATCATCAGAACTTGGAATTCTCAAGGCGGCTTGAAACCATCCTAAAACTTTAAACTTTTTTTATTACTGTAAGCAGAACAAACTTCATGTGTTTCATATGCACAATTCTGGGTTAACCAAATATATTAATGCTACCTCATACATATATTTACCATTCATATAATTTTCCTAATGGTGTGCCTATTCAAATACCTTTGCCATTTTTCAGAGTTACTTCTTTATTATTGATTTATAAGTGTATTCATAGATACATATATATGCATTTTATGTTTCTATAGGCAAAATTTTGAATAAACTCTTTATAAATATAAATGCCATACCCAATTTCTATTATTTTCTTTATCCTCTAATTTTTATTTTAATGGCTATGGCTCCTTCTCTATGTGCACAGGGGGAAATTACAGACTTACTAAGTAGGACTGTAGTGTGCATAATATGAGTGTCTGTCTGTAAAGCATATTTAGTAATGTGTCTTTGTAAATCATGAATTTATGGTAGATTGATAGCATCATGCTATATTAAGACAAGCTCTTGCTAATATACTAACATAGGAATCCTAGCAGTCACTGAAATGAATTCACTTCAAAAATCACAGTGCTATTCTACATTCTGCTCAATTCTGAAATTCCCTAGAAAAAGAAAATTACTACAATTTGGAGGCAAATTATTTGCCTTAAATTACTATCTCTTATCAAGAATTACATTTGCCTAAATCACTTAACTTTCTCAAACATCCACATATTCATTACAAAAGCAGAAACAGTAGGCTATATTTAATGAAACTATCTTTGAGGATCCAGCAATATAAAAATAAAAGTAGTTGTTTTTTTAACTATTATTATCTTATTTTGATGACCTTTACATGGTTGCTTAGGGTGCAAAGGGTCAAGGGCTGTAGCAAAGTGTGTAAGACCATTGATTCCACATTCTCTTTTTTCCTTCCTGTATCTGCGAGAAGGAGGGCGATGAAGGGAAAAGCCCCACTCAGCTTCTCAACCATCCCAGGGTTCTTGATGTGGGGCATGCTCTGAGGGCACTGCTCAAGTGGTTTGATAGTTCAGCAGTTCTGAATTGCTGCCAATTTCACATCCCAAGCATGATGAAATCTCTCCTGAACCCGCTGGCCAACATAGTTCATCTTAGAGTCTCTGTTTGCCCAGATTTTCACTGCCAACATGTGGCTGAGGTAGTTGATCAATTTGTTCCATCCTCTGTCCTCTGTTGTGGTACCAGGTGTCCGCTGCAGACTCCAATGGACTACCATATCCTCCATGTGCGCCTGAATATGCTGTCCACTGTTCTGTCTGAGTCTCTGAGAGGCTCAGCTTTGACACATGCACTCCACAGTCAGACCATAGAACCCTGCATACTCTTCATGGTTGGGGTTCGAGTTCAGCAGTTCAGTTGGAGAGATCCCCAAAGAAACTTCGTCATAGGTAATCCCAGTCCTGATTCTTGTGTGTGCATGCCAGTACAGGGCCTGGTACAGTCTGTTGCCCCAATCAGCTTATGCACACACTGGTGGTTGCAATTGCTGGGTCAGTTCTGTTTCCAGCCCTGTCTTCTACACAAACCAACGGGTGTTGCATCCTAGCCCAATCCTGCCCACCACACACTTGGTCCTCACACAAACAAGTGAGAGCTACAGCGTAGTCAGAGTGACCCACAATAACCCCCACTAGACCTGCCCCCTGCCCTGGTTCCCATGCCAGCCAATATGTACAGCAGACTGATTCATTCTGTCCCACATCTCATTCAGCTTTCATACATGGCAATGGGCATTGAAGCCTAGTTCAACCTAACCAGCTCTACTATCCAGCCCACAAACGTGCCAGTGGGTGCCACTCTGTCTAGCCATGCCTGCCCCAGTTCTGGTTCTCGTGTTTACCAGTCTGAGTGGCAACCCAAGAGAGGTGCCCACAATTTCCCTACTCCCGGATCTTGCACTCTCCAGGTGGTTCTGCAGTTTAATTGGATAGAATTAGCCCCCAGTGCCAGCATCTGCCAGCTGATGCTACAGCAAAGCCCAACCAACCCACACCCACTCTGACTTGTGCTTGAGCCAGTAGGAACAGTCAACCCAGCCTGGCTTTTACCTGATCCAGTTCATATGAAGCCAACAGGTATTGTAGACCTGCCCGGTCTGGTCTATGCCCGTCCCAACTCATGTTCTACAGTAGGAGTGGTGGTCTAGCAGAGTGCCATGCAACCCTCCCTACCAGCTTTGCTCACTCCTCACCCCCCTGGTTCTCATGTGTTCTGGTTGGGTGCTGCAGCCATGTCTGGCATGGCCTGCCTTGCCTCAGCATTTGCCAGTGGGTGCTGTAGTCTGGCCTGGTCCAGCCCATCCCCAATTCCAGCTCACATTGGTGGGGGCTACAGCCTAACCCAGCCTAGCTCAGGTGGCCTCAATCTTGGCCCTCATGTTGGCTTGTGATGTGACACAACATGTCCTGACTCACACTCTATTCTGGTGCTTGGATTCATCAGCAGAAGATGTGAACTGGCCCAGCTGGGTCTGCCCCTGATCTGCGCCAAATGTATGCCAGAAGGCTCAATTGCCTGGCCTGGTCTTGGCTGCTCTCTATCGTGTTTCTTCCTCTCACTTACAGGGACTGTTTATTTAATGAAACTGTCTTTGAGGATTCAGCAATATAAGTGAAAGTGCTTGTTAAGGTAGATTTTTTGTACAAACTCCAATATTCTCATTATTACCTTTCAAAGCACAAGCTTCAACTGGCAGATAAATGACATTATTAGTTGCAACATTCCCTTCTGCCATCTTACTTTCTACTGGGTTAGATATAAGTCTAAAGTTATCAATGGACAAAGCATGAATTCTAAGAAGAATCTTTCACCTTCTATTTGGCTAATGATCTCTCTTCAGAAAAATTCTCATCACTCTCTCCCGAATCTGCTTGGTCCTGACACCATAGATTACAGGATTAAGGGCTGGAGGAACAACAACATAGAGGTTGGCCAAGAAAATGTGAATATATTGAGGAATGTTGTGGCCAAAACGGTGTGTCAAGAAAGAGAAAAATGCTGGTGTGAAAAAAGCTAAGATAACCCCAATGTGGGATCCACAGGTATTGAGAGCTTTGAATCGAGCCTCCCAGGAAGGCAAGCAGAAGACAGAATAGAGGATCCTAACATAGGAAAGAATAATAAGGAGTACATCTAATAATAACAGAGAAATGTTGCCCAGCCCAAACAAAATGTTGACTTTGATACTGGCACAAGCCAACCGAGCAATTCCCATGTGCTCACAGTAGGTATGAGGGATGACACGATGCCCACAGAAGGGCAGCCTGAGTAGAAGAAACACCAGTGGGACAACCATATACAGGCTCCTCAGGATAGCAATGCCTGCAATGAGGGCAATGAGTTTGCTGGTGAGGATCATGGTATACCGAAGAGGCTTACAGATGGCAACGTAGCGGTCAAAGGCCATGGCAACCAACACAATGCTCTCCATGACAGTGAAGAAGTGGATAAAGAACATCTGAGAAAGGCACCCTCCAAAAGATATATCCCTGAGATGGAACCAGAAGATACCCAGCATTTTGGGTATGGTGGCTGTGGACAAACCCAAGTCGATGGAATCCAGCATGGCCAGGAAGTAGTACATGGGCTCATGGAGACTACGCTCAGTCTGTATCACAAATAAGACAGCAGTATTTCCCAGGAGAGCAAGAAGATAAACAAAGAAAAATGGGAATCCAATCCAAATGTGCATGTCTTCCAAGCCTGGGATGCCCAGCAGTAGGAATGAAGAAGGATAGGGTGAGGTGTCATTAGGCATAGACATTCTTTCTACCAAAACAGGACTGTAGCTAATGATTTCCCATGAGTGATAGTTGTTCCACTTCTTCTTCAGTCCAGATTCCTGGTCAAAAAAAAAAAAGATGACATTTTAATTTTCCATTGTTTCTACTCCTAAGGAAGGTAGGATGTTTTTCTCGGCTTCTCCTAGAGATTGCATAGTATCATACAGCATCAGGAACAGAAGCAGATTACTAACCTAACAAGAATGCATTTGAAGTCGTGGGAGTAGAAAAATGTCAACTGCCTAAAAGGAGTTCAAACTTTGCAAGGTAGTTGGAAATAAAAGGGGGCAATCAAGTTCATTGTGTACAGCAGTGTTACACTTATTTTTGTTTAACATACATGATCATTTCCATGGTATGTGTAAGCTCAAATCTTTTTCATTTGGAAACATAAAATCCCTAGAATATGGTACTAGGATTCTGTTTGGTTTTAGTTATATGGGTGTTTGTCAGTACTAGATCATTTTGAGAATAGAAGAAAAATTTTATTCATTCATATACATGAAAAAGGTCTGCCACACAGCCTTATTTTTACTTAAATTTTTATTTGTATAAAGTGAATAAATTTCATGTATTTCATATATACAAATTTAGCAGCATAGAAATAATTTCTGCCCTACTCTCCCTCTTGCCTGCAGTACCACCCTCCCTCGTCCTCTCCTTTTCTTCTCTTTCTGACTTTTGCAATGACATGCTTTCAGTTTATTTTATAATCACAGGCTTACCCCTCCACTACGTAAGCATTTAACAAATAATACGTTGAGGAAAGAACTGTTCCTCAAGAGAGACAAAAACTGTAAATGATAATCAGATTTTAAGATGTCAGTTATGCTCATAAGTTCACTTTCACAAGCCTATTATGAGTAACAAATTTGAAAGATAAATTGATAAAATTTTGAGTAACAAAAATGAGAGATAAATTGATAATTTTGAAAATTCTCTCGGAAGAAAGCAAAACTGAGCTGCTAGAGCTGGGAAGGAAACAAGGTTCTCAATTTGCAGTGTAAAACTGTCAGAGAGAGGGCTATAGTTCTCCAGTCTTGCATTACTGGGGAATACAGAAGCAGTAGCGAGGTCTTTTCACAATTTATTCCATAAAATAATTGAAGTTGTTCAGGTACTATCATCAACCAACCAATCTGAATTTAAATTTTAATAAAAAGCAGAATGACTACTTAGTAAGGAAAATAGTGTCCTAAGTATGGAATTTAAAACTTTATTGCAATGTTATTAAAGTATTCAGAGTATGCATAGAGGAGAATCAAGAAAAACTCCAAAGAGGAAGTTACACTTATGCTAATACAAAGAAGTCATTCAGACAAAGAAATTTTATTCCCAATGAAATAAAGAACAGAGACAAAATGAGAGAGAGAGAAAGATTAAGCTCAGAGACCAGTCAAAATGCAAAAAGAATCAGCACTCCTCTCCATGATCTTAAGAGATAGAGTGCATTGATGACCACACTATCATTCTGTCCTATTCTTGGTTTAGCTTTATTATCTATTCTTGGGTATAGTTCTTGACAGCAAACAAATTACTGCTTGCCCTCTTTTTGTTCATACATGTGTATATCTATCTATAATTATCTATCTATCTATCTATCTATCATCTATCTATCATCTCAGGTCAGAAATAGTAGCTAAACTGATGTAAAATATAGTGATGCAATTCTTTCCTCATCAGCTTTTACAATCTAGCTTTACAGTGAGACATTGTGTAGTCACAGGTATAAGTGGGCATAGGTATAAGTGTAGCCTCAAGAGATGGCAAATATGATGCATTTTCTGTTTATGTTCCCTACATACTCTCACTCTTCATCTCCCTGTACCAGCCTGTCAGCAGCTTTTTCTCCATCCCTCCTGCAACTTTTAACATCTTGATCATGATTAACTTACCTTGGTTTCAATTCTCTGAGAAATATCTCTTAGCACATTCTTGGAGCACATTATTTATTAGGTTGCATAGAACGTATTTATGTGTTTTTTTTTTTCCTAGCTTTGCTTCCCTCTGGGATGGAGAACATCCAATCTTGTCAATATGCCCTGGAGAATTTCTATCTCTTTTTCTTTATAAAGACAAAGGGGACAAGTGTTTACCCAGGTTCTATTGCTTTCCCCAGGTTTTCTGTTCCTTTTCTGACACTAATAGATTGTGATTTCTCATCTCCAAATTAAATTGTTAAAATCTTGATAACCACTTGGGATTTTGTATTTATCCTCTGCTCTCATCTTCAGTTCTTCTCAGTCTTTCTTCACTAATTGTGTTCTTTTGCACAAACTATCTTTCATTATAATAAAATTTTCAAGTTTCCCATTTAAAAACGGCTTGGTACAGTTTTCCCATGGACTCAGCTTTCAGTTATCTGCTTCTTCGTTTCCATTCATTTTTAATTCATTCAATCCAAGCCTTCTAGGGGTCATCTAGTAGCCATCTTATCCTCTCTTGGAATACAAAACATCATACTAATTCTCAAATTTCCCAGTTTTATTAAAGTATAATGACAAATAAAATATTACATATTTGAGCCTTACAACATGAAGTTATAGTATGTACAGACATCATGAAATTAAGAACATGTAATATTTACTTTCATCAATTTTGTAATAACCTAATTATCACTAACTATGCCCCCATGTCATACGATAGAGCTACAAAACTTATTCACATAGACTAATGGGCATTTTTACATTCTTCAAAGATATTTCACATGTGTGCTCTGGCTGTCGTGATTCTTCTCCCTGTTTACAAATTTGACTAACGTTATCTGTATAAGTAAGCTCATGCAATGCTGTTTTTCCATGGATAGACTGTTTTACCCAGCATCTTTCTTCTAGGTTCATCTATGGTGTCAGAAACACCAATTTTGCTTTTGTCTTTAAGACTGAAAAGTATTCCATTGCATACAAGTATTCCATCTTATTTGTTGATTTGTTGATGGAAACTAGGCTGCCTCTGGATCTTGGTTATTATCAATAATACATCAATGAAAATATGAGTTGCATGTATCTTTTTTATATACTAACACAATTTAATTTGAAGACACCATGCCCTGACAGATTGATGGATCATATTGTACGTTCATTTCTGTCTGTTTGAATAACCTTCCTACTGCCATCCGCAGTAGCTGTACTGATTTATATTCTCACCAAGAGTAAATGATGATCCCAGTTTCTTTACATTCTTTCCAATACTTGCTTTCTTTTTTCTTTTTGATTGTAGTCATTTTATCAGGCATATAGTGATGTCTTCAGGTGGTTTTAACTTGCATTTCCTTGATAATTAATGGTGCAGAGCATTTTGTAATACACTTATTAGATATTTGCATGTCTTCCTTTGAGAAATTCAGATTCTTTACTCACTTTTTTGAAATATTTATGTTTCCATTTGAAAGGCAGTTACAGAGAGAGAGGGAGAGTCAGCTGAACCAAGATAAAGCCAGGATCCAGGAATTTGTCTGGTTATCCCAGGTTGGTGGCAGGGACCCAAGCACTTGAACCATCTCCCTTTGCTTTTCCTGATCATTACCACAGAGCTGGATCAGAGAGGCCCAGACATGAACTGATGCCTATATGGGATTCCAATATTGTGTATAGAAGCTTTATAATCTATGTCCCAATGCCAGCTCTCTCTGCCCATTTTTAAATCCGGTTATCTGTTTTCTCACAATTGACTTGAGTTCCTTGTATTTAGTTCTCATTCTCTTGCCAGATTCTGGTTTGAAAATATTTTCTACTCTTGTAGGTTGCACATTTACTCTATTGTTTATTGTACAGAAGTTTGCTTGTTTTTAGTTTGATGTAACTCCATTTCTGTTTATGCTTTTTTTTCTCTTGTTGTGTGTTTGTTGTTGTTGTTATAGCAAAAAAAAATATCATTGCCAAAACCAATGTCAAAAATCTTCTTGCCAGTGCTATCATTTGCAACAAATTGGACCCAGCTGGAAACCATTATAATAAGTTAGTCTCCAAAAGACAAAAATATGTTCTCTCTGACTATAATAACTAGCACACAAAACACACACACAAACTATAAACTCTACAAGAAATATTAGCGTATTGGGAAATAATGGATGTATAAAGCATGTGTCTTCACTTCCAAATAATAGGATGATTCTCAATCCATGTAAATCTATGTCAAGAGGAAAAACAAATTAATTATATGTCTGAGAATATATATATATATATATATGAATATTATTGCTTTTCTTCTTGGAGTTTTACAGTTTTTTATCAATATTTTAAATTTTCATTGAAGAAAACTTTATGTAAATAAATTTTCAACTTGGAAATAGTACATTTCTAGATAAAGTCACCAAAAAGATTTTAACAATAGACAATTTGTAATATTTGTGGGGCTAGAAATATTAAAGAAACTTAATATATAAATTTAAAAATCTGAAGAAATATCCATGAAAATGTATGTCGCTATTTAGTTCTCCAAATACATTAGGAAAAAAACATAACCAATCTCACACATGATTTTTCAGATGAAAGGAAAAGGGGAACCCTTTTTTATACAGTACAATTCATTTTATGAGACTTGTACAACTTTGACATAGAAAACCAAAAAGCATGGTATAAGAAAGTAAGATTATTTTTATGAATGTACGTACAAAAATCCTAATCGAAGCATTGGTAAGCTGAATCTAGCAGCATTTTTAAGTATGTGTACATGCTGAATATGTCGGTTTTATCCCATGAACACAAATTTGGCTTAATTCATGATCATTCAAGATTCAGCACAGAGGAGAAATTAAGTTCCAAAGCAGTATCTCTATATGTTTGCAAAAAAAAATGCTTGATAAAACAATGCTGTTACATTAAAAACATGAAAATTAGAAAAAAAGGTGGATCTTATTTTCACTGGTACAGAGTTCCTAGAATAACTGAAGCAATCATCAAGAATGAACAATATTTTTCTTCCCAAAACACTGCAAATAAGCCAACCACATTAACTTTATTTACTCAAAATTGAATTGAGGATCCTAG